TAGTGAGTTTAAGTTGCTGATTTTAGCAGCATGAAGTAAGAAAAATAAGCATTCAACATAAAGAAAAAGAAAACTGTTTGTTCAGAGATTCCACTGGACGGTTAAAACAGTGAGGCTGAGTCTCCCGCAGATTTGATGACGTCAGTGACAGGAACCTTTGAACCTTCAGTGACTTTAGAGAACCCGCTCCCAGTGGCGTCCTGCTCATGTTCGTTATTTGTGTACAGCGGGGAAGCTTCCTACGATTTCACAGCACAATACGGGGGAAATCCTGGGAGTGAGAGATGGAGAGAGGCATCAACCAAGTAAAGGTCATCTCCACCCTTTACTCTAGCCTCTCACGCTTAGGCCAGTGAGCACTGAGATGAGGTTAGCGTCACTTTAAATAGGTCAGACACGCTTTAGCAGTGTAAAAAATCTAGAGATTATGGTGGAAATGAATCACTGGCCGATGTTTTTAATCCTGTATTTACATCCTTGCCATGTTAAACTCTCGGACATTGACACATGCTGTCAAAAGTGCATTAGGAATACATTGTGTCAGAAGTCATTCTGAGGTTATGTTTGAAGCTAAAAGTGGACCACTGTGTCTCCTTAAGGAACTTAACTATAGCATCAAAAAATCACTTTGTACAGGGAACACAATTTCTTTCTTCATTTTTTTTCAAACAGCAAAGGAAAGAGCATTTATAACATGCATGGCAACGGCTGTGCTGAAGAAGGATTAGTGCTGATCTGTGGCTGGAAGCACCAGAGTCAGAGTTAATGAGTCCGATTAGTCCCCAGTGAGTGTTCGGGGATTAGCACACTGTCCACCGAGAGGAACCCTTCTCATTTCAAGCCTGAGGAGGAGAGCAAGCAGAGAGCCTGCCTCAAAGTGGATCACACAAAAGTACGGACCAAAGATGAGAGACAAAGAGAGAGAAGATGGGAGAGATGTGTGAAAAGAGAAGAAATGGGTAAAATCATCAGATCTATGAGTGGCTAGAAGCATTGGGGAAACATCATGGGGCCTAATGGCAACAGAAAATGGCTATTATGGAGCAATCGTGGCTCTGCGCGTGTGTTTAGAGAAGAGAGAGCTTGATGGCGTTTCTTAACTGAGACAGAGATAGGAAGGAAGTCTTTAGCATTAAAGAGAGGTGCAGCAGGTTTATCCTGGCACACACCCTTCCCAAAAAGATAGCTCACGCAAGTATTTCACAATAATTCTTTGAAAATCACGCCGTCTGGGAGGTGGGTGGGGTTTACTGCAGTATTACAGCACAGCATACTGTAGTTCATTTCAACATTTAGAAGAGAAGAGAGAAGACAGTTAGCTGCAGAGCATGAGAGATACTGAGAGCAGTACCAGAAGAGAGTGTATCTGTCAGATGGTGTCACCCCACTTCTGAAGAAAACCTGCAACAAGTCACACTCACATTTCCTGTGGAGGTTCCCCATATTTCCTGTCACGGTCAGTGTAAAGCACAGAACCAGACTATATATGTACTGAACGTGCGTGTTAGCAGATCGGTGTGTGTTAGGATGAGCTACTCAAGTCAGCAGCATTCTCTTTAGCACCAGTGATGATGTATAAAAACAACTAATTTGACCACTAATGGGTCTGTTTTGTGGAACTGTAACAAA